TCGAGTTCGTTCTCTTTGTACTAATTTTTTTCATACTGATTTGACATATGTTTCTATATCCTGTTATTAAAGTAGCTGAACAATTATCTACAAGTTCTAACTTACTCCCCAATCGACCCCGCGGATGCTGTATCAATAAACTTGCAATAAATCTTACAAGTTTACAAGCTGAGTTGTAATTAGATTTTCGGGAAATATGTTGATGTAAATCTTTTAGATGTCGTCACGGAGGTTTCACGGCGCTTTTATCGGTGGATTCTCGGCTGGATACTACTACAATACTGGCTCTCTACTACTCTTGTATAGGTAAAATCCGAAGTTTTGTAAAAAATACAGTACACATAGTGCAGAAAATTAAACAATAGTGCACACTAAACACACAAGCTTTCTTGTCATTTTACCTACATAGATTAAAGTTAAATAAATAGCTTCAATGGAAGCTACAGTAAGGGTGAAGATAAAGGTTGTCAAGTAGTTTTTTTTCTTTTTGTTTCCATTGAATAACATTTTCCACTGTCGTTGATCCATTTTCTCTATAGTAGGAATTCGTATAAGCAAAAAAAAAGTAAAAATTATCAAGGTGTTATCTAAGCACCAGATACTTGGATTCCCTAGTAGGCTCAAATTACAACAGCTATACGTTAAGCACTGAAATAACAGAAACGGTGCGCTAATTAGACTATTTAATAGCGATCTAAGATCTTTCTCTAATCCAAGCTATTTGAATGGCTTTAAGTATTTTTTTCGTTACAACGTTTTTCATCATCCTCAAACCCTTCTAAACTCAAAACTTTTTTTTAAGTCTAGTAAACCTGATATTAACTATATCTTCATCAGGGAACCTTCTCTCTAAAGCTTCTACAATGTATTCTATATCCAACCACTTCATATTTCTTGAATACTCTGCCAAACTAAATTGGTGCCCATGGGCAGACTTGAACTCTCAAGGCCATAAAACTCACGGATTTTAACTCCGCTGCGTTTACCAATTCCGCCACACGGGCTT